TCCGCCGCGCCGCGCGCCCCGCCCCCCACGCCTGCAAGCGCGCTGCCCATTGGCTCCCGCGCGGGGCCCATGGAAACCGCCAACGAAAAGAAAAACTTTTTTTTTTTGTGTGTGTGGGGCGGGGCTGAAAACTTCTTCCCGACGCCGCGGGGCACGCTGGGTAGCGCAGTTCTCCGCAGGCCCCGATCAGGCGCGAGGCATGATGGGAAGGCCGGAGCGCTCGCCCTCCTCAGGGGGCCGCAGTGCATTGTGGGATAGCAACCCCCTTGACTGTGGCTGTACCCCCTCAGCAGTGGGGGGATCCCTCCCCAGCATAGGGGACCCCCATGTCCCTGGCTGCACCCCCTCAGCAGTGGGGGGGACCCCCATGTCCCTGGCTGCATCCCCTCAGCAGTGGGGGGGTCTCCCCCCAGCATAGGCAACCCCATGTCCCTGGCTGTACCCCCTCACCAGTGGGGGGGATCCCTCCCCAGCATAGGGGACCCCCATGTCCCTGGCTGCACCCCCTCAGCAGTGGGGGGGACCCCCATGTCCCTGGCTGCATCCCCTCAGCAGTGGGGGGGGTCTCCCCCCAGCATAGGCGACCCCATGTCCCTGGCTGTACCCCCTCACCAGTGGGGGGGATCCCTCCCCAGCATAGGCGACCCCCATGTCCCTGGCAGTTTAGGTATTCCTCACAAGACCCTCCTTGGTCATCTCTAGTGGTGATTGCCACATTTTTATTCCCGTGAGGTGTTTCATCCAGGGGATGCATCCTAGAGAAGACTCTTTTCCATGATTTTTGTCCGCTGGCAGCCACGATTTGTCTGTGTAATGGGGGCCTCTTGTTTTCGATCGGATCAATGCAATGCTTTTTGGTTGCAACTGCTCTCCTGATGTTAGGAAGCGGCAATTCTGGTAAGTAGAGACTACTGACATTTGTGCATTTAAGGCATTTGGTAAGAAACCTGCAAATTTTGTATCCGGGATGATGCCATTTTTACTTCTCTGGTCACATGCCACTTCTGGAGCAACACCAGATCCTACCCGTGGTACAAAACCCCTGGGTTCGCACACTGCACTGTCTTGTACCATGTCTTTTCTTTTCACTTTCGTAGTTCATTTCATTGGTTCAACCATTTACATGCAGCTGTTACAACATACTGGGATTCTCCCTCTGGCAGGTTCAGTTTCCTGCCTGCTATCTAGTGATCAAGTGGGTTGTGGACCCCTGCCCTTTAGACTAATAGGCAGAAAACAATCGTTTACAATCCCTTTTCAGTCCACACCATCACCGCCCACAGGACCTGGCTCTAGAGCAGTGATTCTGAACCCTGTCTCAACCCTGGGGTGTCTTGAGATCCTTTCAAGGGTAGCACACGGTGTTTACGCTGTTAGGTGTGCAATCACCATTCACAGGATAAACCAAGAGATTTCATATAGCAATCTGCAGTGTGAAAAACTTTATGACCTGTTGTGGGCTTTCTGAGTTCTTTGCAACAGTAAAAACTGCTCTATTGTATTTTTCCTATAGTTAAGTGTGAAAACTAAGAGGTGACATTTTCTAAGGGGTGCTTTGAGTTTTTCCAGGGGTGCCACAAGTATAAAATGGTTGAGAGCCCCTATGTAGCAGGTTGTCAATTTGCATAATACTGTCTTTATTTTCCCTGGGCAAACTTGCCCCACAGGACATAACATAAACCATAAATCATCAAACACCAAGTACAAAACTATAAAGTTAACCAAACCCTGTGTTCTTTTCCCAGACCCTGAGAGAGGACCCTGGCTCAATGCTGATGCCACCAACATTGCAGCCTTCCCTCTCTACCAGCTCCCTTCCCTGGGAGCTTTTAACTTTCCCTGCACCAAGTAATCATCCTCATCAGCTGGCCCAGTCCTCCTAGGTACGCATGTAATCTCTTTCTCACCACCTGCCCCTGTGACATGCACCCTGTTATGTCGTACGCTAGGGCAGGAGTACTCAACCCCTAGCATTTGGGCTAGAGCTGGCCTGCAGAACCATGCCATCTGGCCTGCTGGGGTCCCCATGGCCCTGAAAATTTGACTCTGGGGGAGTGGTAGCACCAATTGCTGTTTTCCTGGTGCCAAATTTCCAGACTTATGGGGGGCCCCCAGCCAGATAGCATGCTGGATTGGCATGTGGGACTCAATCCAGGCACACAGGGGCCAGCTGAGGGTATTGTAAGGCCAGGGAGGTGGTGTGGGACTGAGGGAAGCAGTGTGGGGCCCTGATCTGACAGCATGGAGCCAAGGTACGTGGCACTGGAACTCAATCTGAGGCTGCAGGGCCTTGACTTGACAGTGCAGAGCCCCAATGCAAGAGAGGCAACACGGGGCCTGATCCTGGTGTATAGGGTCCAATCCAGCATGCAGACCAGCACTGCACTACGCTTCCGGCCCACGGCTCCTAAAGGTTGAGTGCCACTGCTCTAGAGGCATATTTGTCCTTGATTATTGAGGCTGATACAACCCCCCAAGGTAGATAGGTTGCTCCAGAATAAAACAAGTGCTGTGAGTTGGTTCCTAATGGGTAGAAAGTGTGGGTTTGAGAGCAGAGATAGAGATTGCAGATAGAGACTGATGGAGTTCAGTTTCAGGAACAACCTCCAATTCCATTCTATGTTATGATGAATGCTGGCAATATTAGTCCATCATGTATCATTCACCCCTCCAAGAATTTCTTCAGGCTAGGCAAGATGCAAGCTATTCTGTAGATAAACCTTCTCTCTATGATATTTTGCTCTTTTTATTTCCTCTTCCCCTCATTTATCTGGTTGGTTTGTGCCCTCCCTGGCAATGTTCCCCTAAGGTGTAGCGATCCATGAGCACCCCAATTCAGTCCTTGAGCACACTTCGGTCTGTGCGCTCTGCCTGCTCCCTACTGCAGCCTTTGAATGTGGCACAGCACAAAGTGCATCCCGCCACTGGGCAGGCCTAGCAGCAAGGCACATAGCATCACTTTCAAAGGCTGCAATGAGGTGCAGAGGCAGGGAGCATGTAGAGCGCAGATCCCTCCCACCCTTGCCCCACGCAAAGATCAGGGGCCAGGCCACATGCCCTCACTTGGCTGCCCGTGCCATGCATCTGGAGGGGCTGCCGGGGTCCGATTGCCCCACGACCCGGCCCAGACAGGAGGGAGGGACGGGAATGTGTTCCCTCTCCCCCACAGTGCATGCAGTGGCGGGATCTGCAGCCGCCTGCCCACACCGCTGAATGAACCGCCGGGCTCCGATTGCCCCAGCCCAGCCAGGGCCCCATTCATGGTGAACGAGCCCCCAGCTGGGCCAGGCCGGGTCGTGGGACAATCCCCACAGTGCAGGAGAGAGCAGGGCAGCGCTCTGCCCCTACTGCACTCCCTCCTGCACTGTGGAGGTCTCAATCTGTCCCCACCTCCAAGACCAGTGAAACTTACCTGCCTGCGGTTGCAGTCCTGACTGGGAGTGCGCGGGTATCTCAGTGTGCCTGTCCCTCCCCCCTCCTGCACCAGCCTGTGGCCAGGTTGGGGCAGGGGCACGGCATTAAAAAGTTACTGTGCGGCATGATTTTTTCTTGTGCACAGCCGCACACGCGCACAGCTTAGAGGGAACCTTGCTCACTGGGTGTGTCTACATGAGACACTTTACCACGCAGTAGATTAATCTACTGCACAGTAAAGCACATGTGCAGGACATTTACTGCACAGTAAATTAGGCTACTGCGCAGTTAGCTAGTACTTGTAAATACAGGTACTAGATTAACTGCACAGTAGTTACTGTGCAGTACTGCACTTGTAGACACTGACTGGGAGTAATCTGCTCCCAGTCAGTCTAGGCAGCAGGAGGTCACAGCGAATGGGGAGTTCTCTGTCCTCAGTCCTGGTGCTGCTCAGGTTCCCAGTCCCCTGAGGAGCCAGGAGATGATCAGTACTGGAAATGGGGAGCTCTACCCCATCCCAGCTCGCAGAGCAGAGCTGGGAGCTCCAGAGAGTGAGCAGAAGCAGGGTCTGCGCAGTGTGCTCGCTCTCTGGAGCAGCTCTACATGGTGCGAAGCTGGGAACCCAGGAAGCTCCAGCCTCGACTAGCTCTCTGGAGATCCCAGCTCTGCACCACACAGAGCTGCTCCAGGGGGTGGGCAAAGGCTGGGAACCCAGGCAGGGCAGCTGCTAGTGAGTCCTCCCCCACTTCAGCATGGGGCTGGCTGGGACCTGTACCGCAAGCCGGGTAGCTGCTGGCAAGCCCCCTGCCAAGCAGGGGCCATGGGGCTCACTGGCAGTTGCCCCCCTTGCAGGACTGTTCCTTGCAAACCCCGTGCTGGGGAGGTAAACCCCACCTGGCAGGGGGCTCACCATTAACTGTCCCACATCAAGGACAGCTTCTGGCAAACCCCTGCTGGGCAGGGAAGTCCAGCCCGGAAAGGGGCTTGTTGTCAGCTGTGTGTCGAGATGTGCATGGGGCCAGGAGAGCTGTGCCAGCTGCAGCAGCAGCTATCTCCTGGCTTCATGCCCGTCAGGTTCTGGCCCAGTGTGCACGGGGCCAGAAGACAGCTACTGCTGCAGCCAGCAGAGCTCTCCTGGCTTCGTGCACATCGGGACCAGCCCCTGTGCCCCTTGCTAGCCCCTGGGCTAGCACCTAGGGGAGCCTGGAGCTCTCCCTGGCTGCTGCAGGGGGGCAGAGCAGGGTGGGAGTAGGCCTGTACGGGCCTGCTCCCACTGGAAGCAAATCTGCTCCCAACAGGGTGCATGTGTAGACTTGCTCCTAGGGAAGGAGCAAGTCTACACTGCACAGTGAGCGTAAATGCACTCACTGCAACTTGTGTTACGCTGAGATACAAAGCAGGGACTGTCTTATTACCCACACAGCAATACCCTGATGTTTTCTTGGATTGTCTTGCCATAATTGTGATACAAATATCAATAACACTTATATTAAGGCATCTTACATATTTTTGACCTTTCCAAGACTCTCTCTAGGTCAAATCCTGCCCT